ATAAACTCAACGATTTTAAACCGAGCAATGGCAAAACTGTACCGAGGAAAAAAAAAAAAATTATCTCTTCGCGAGACTGTATATCGGAAATTCTAAAGAATGCTCATTTAAAAAGTATTTTGCGATACTGCTGTTGAATTCAATTTTGTGGTTTAAGTGCAAAATACAAGATATTTAATAATAATAATAATAAAAAAAAACGTTAGTTCAGGATTTACGTTTAAGCTACAAAAGCTATAGCTAAGTGCCCCCACTTTCTTGGGGGCCTGCCAAAAAATTAAAATTTAGTATAAATATAGTATTAAAATAGAGTATAACAGACTTACAAAGGGCCCCATATCTCAAATAACTTAGGGTATTATCAAGTCTAAATCCGGCTCCGATAAAGGTAATACACAAAAAATTTAAAAACGTCCTTTTGGGTGTAATGTAAAAGCTGAAAGCTTTCGATTTTTTTTTTTAGTCCAAAGGGCAATTTGTCCAAAAGGACTTTTAATTTCGTTTCGGCATTTTGCGTAGATTCACTGTAAATGTTGATTCACTTTTTAAATTGTTGCCACCAATATTAGAGCCCTGTATTATACTTCAAAAAATTAAATAATGAAGAATCTGCACAAATGTATATAGTATGTCTCTCGCATTGTGATAAAACAACGGTACTTAGAGCCATCCAATTTTGAATAACGTACGTTTCCACCCGAATATGGGCATCTTCAAGCCCGAATTTGGAATTTGTTTTATTACCTACTTTATTACTACTTTATATTTTGTAAAGCATAATAGCTAAAAGCTCGCTATCGCTGATTGAGGGTGGGGTCTGCCTGTAGCGATCATCGGACTATATTTCTTGAAAGACGCGCCTGGGATGAAGACAAAGGAAAATAGGTGGTGACGCGTCTCGTGGAGAGAAGCAGACAGGCGTCGGAGGTCACTGACACTCCTAGACTTGATATTCGGAGGTACACTACTTTCGGTTTCAGATTTTTAAACTTATCATTGTCCGATCTCATTTTATCATAAATTTTTAGCCTTTGTTTAAATTCAGATATTGTTTCGCAACCATATAGTATAGGTTTCCTCAACACTGAATCGGGAATACCATCAGTAATATATTTAATTAATGAAGCATCTTCAATGTTACCTAGCGAACACATTTCTTTCATTTTCAAAAAATACTCATCTAAAGATTCATTAGGCATTAATTTACGCTTACATAACATTTCATGCAACTCAGCAGAATTAAAAGCTTTACCAAATTCAGATTTCAAAAGCTTTTTTAACTTACACCAGTCATTAACTTTAGGTTCACTCTGAATAAATAGTTTCGCTTTACCTTTTAATGATCTTTAACAAAAACTAATTTATGCAAATCACTCAATTTCAAAGAATTTATGACATCCTCAAATTCATCAATCCATTTATCAACATTTTCATATGCATTACCAGAAAAAGGAATAACAATACTTTCAATATCCGAAAAACTCAGATGAGGTTTAAAATAATCTTGAATTGGAAGCTGCATACTGTTATTTACTGGAGACTCATTAAAAGCATGATTGTCTCTTTTATTATCATCAAGCACTGCTTCAGAAATTTTATTAACAGTTTTATCTTCAATATCACTATTTTCTTCATGCAAAATATGTTTAAAATAATACAGACAAATCACATAGGAAAGAGACAATTCGGGTTACTACTTCATTTTTTGATCCCTCTGAATTTATGTATAGTACATAAAAAACTGTAATTAACTCATTTAAAGAAAAACTATTCTTCACTATATCTATTTTCTTATTAAATTCTTCAGAATCTGGTTTAAATATAAAGCCAAAAAATTCGCGTAATCTTTTCCGGTTATTTCGATCTCCATCAATATTAAAAATAAGCTTATGCAAACTTTTGATTTCAGAACTTTTACTGTTCTTTAAGCTTCCATTTCTGGAATTTCTATTAACTTCATATTGGAAAGAAAGTTTTGTACTCACCCGACAGATGATCGTCTTCAATCCAAACGCTTAAACAGTAATCCAATAAATCCAATAACTTGTAAAAACAGTTCACTAAATTCACAGTCAGTCAATACACAGTTCAGAATACTATTCGCCCACTTTCGATTTCTTTGAGTTCGTTGAGTTCGCCCCACGTTGGGCGCCAAATTTTGTAGAATTTACTTTCAAAACACACACGGAGAGCATGTCTATTGCATTATTAAATGCTTTATTTTACTAATAAGAAATAGATAAAAGTAATTACAGGTGATGTCATGTTATACTCAGTCCACACAGGATTCATGTAATTATGAAAATTTCAGTCCTATACACACATAACATCCATGGCTAGCTTTAGATAATATGATCAGCTTGGCTATAAAGAACTTAAACATCAAAGGAAACCGTCTGTTTCCACCAACTCTTGGAGGATTTACAAGCCGTCTGCTTGCCTCCGCCTTTCTCCACGTCTGGACGCTATCTCATATTGTCTCGACTGCTCCGCACTGTCCTAAGCTGGGATGACGTCACCTCGCTAGGTATTCTAAGTCAGCATCGGTCGTCGATGATCTTTACATGTATGAGCAATCGTTCAAAAGTAACTGACCTTCCGCATGCGCCGAAGCATCAAACACAATGCATAATTTATTTGTAGTCTTATCTGTACGTATTACAGCTCGATGAGGTAGATAAATGTATTTTGGTGTAAATTTACTTCATCAACTGGGACAGGTTCTATAATATTCTCCAAAAGATAATTATTTAGAACAGTGTTATATTCACAGAATAAGGAAAGATCATTTTTAAAAGATGATCTCAATCTCAAAAATCTTTTCATTGCTATCTGTTCGTTATTTTCTAATAATGTCTTCATATTTGGTTTCCAGTGCAATTTCACTTTGTGTCTCTTATTTTGATATGTAATTCCGGATTTACATTCACTCATTCTATCTTTCTCGGTGCTTTCTATGTCAGCTACTGTCAGTTTCTATGTCTGCCTCGATACCCAAATTTTCTAAATTCCAAAATTCCTTGAGTTGGTCGGAAATGTTGGATTCGTTTACCATAACACTCATTGCAAACGTTTCATTTAAATTCGTGTTTCGGCCTTGCAAACACCACCCAAATAATGTTTCAACTCAAATATTATTTTGAGAGTTTTGCTTAGGCGTGTAATTCGACCAGTGACAGTATTATAATAGTAATCTGAACCCATTAGTATTGATATTTCTCTATTATTAAATTCATAACAGTCCGCTAGTTGTACATTTTTTAAATGTCTAAATTGTTTCTCAATACTTTTATCAGGAGTCGGTAAATGTGTGCCCGAAATATGTTCTGTCTCTAGTGCTTCAATTTCTATACATAAATTTGGATCATCTCTATTCTTTAATTTAAGTTTAACTACATTAAATGATTTTGTTTCCGTTTCCTTAGCACCAAATGTGCAAATAGAAAGGCTTTCCTTTCTAACAAATGGAAAGTTAAACCTTTTGGAAATAGCTGACAAAACAAAGGAGCGGCGTAAACCAAGAAAATTCTAACAATTTCATGCTCTTTTCTGTTATCAATTAAGGTCGAACATGTTTGTAACTTAGTATTCTTTTTTGCCGATACAATATTCGCCGATACAACATTATCGGTTTCTCCTTTTGGAGAAATAATGTGTAGATTATTTTGATTTCGAAAACAAAGTGAGACATAGTGAGGTTTACTGCAGCTAGGACACAGTTCCTTTTTCAAAAATTCTACAACTCTGTGCTTTGGCGTCAAGTATAAGAAACAGCGACCTTGTTTCTTCAATATTTTTCTCTTTTCATTTGCATTAAATGTAGAGCACGATTCTGATTTATGACCTTTGCTACAAAATAGACACATTACATTTTCGATTGACGCCAAGAATTCATGCGTGTGTGGGGAGGAGAAAGAATTCTCCCTCTTGTGCGGAGGTGCTTTATCATAATTTTCATCACTTAAAGCATGTCCACTAATACATGCTGCCGCGGTACCACCGAGATAGGATTTCAAATAATTAAATTTATCAACTTTGTTTAATTTAGGATTATTATGAACAGAGCTTTCAAATAAATTGTAAAAGTCTAACCAGCCAGAATAACCAACTGTTCTTAAAATGTTCTCAAAAATATTATTTCTTTTCTTAGGTAGAGAGATCTCCTGTGCTTTGTTACCATTTAACTTAACACCCTATTATTTTAACTCACAAAGTTTTAAAACATTAAATGATAAGTTTAATAAAGAGGTACTTGAATTTTAGGTTTATTAGATTAAGGAAAGTACCTTAGAGGTTTCTGTCTAAAAGGAGGAAACTTTTCATGGTGGACTTTCAAAGGAAAACAGTATCGTATTTTTGTTTCAAGTGCGTTGCATTAGCTAAATTTATTTACATTACATGAAAGCATATGACCGCTATTTGCCTAAGAGGAGGGATACTTCATTGAGGAATGTTTAATGGAAACTAGCCCAGATTTGTCGAACACATGGAGAAAATCACGAAATCGGCCATGCAGCCAAGCCCTTCATATACAGGTACTACCAGTTTTGTTTGGTTTGGTTTATGTGATTACGGCAAAACCTCGCGGATATCTTCTTAAGGGAAGGAATGCCTTCGTGGAGAATTAAGTGAAACTGTCTCGTATACACGTTACACATAGGGAAAACCACGAAAACGCCCACGCAGCCAGCCCGTTCGCGGGATTCGAACCTCGAAACGAACTGCCAGTCTTCAAAAACTCTACCACTCGGCCGCTGGTAGGTAAGAGCTAAAATGATTAAACATTGTGTAATACTAATTTTTCCGTCAATTGTTCAATAAACAACATCTTTTGCTGCAGAATGTGATTTTTAGAAAGTCAGTTCAGTTTTAGAAATTTTTAGTTTTAAAATTATTTTGTGAGAATTAAAGCTACAGGAATCTCAAAAGCAAACAATTGCGAAATTTAAATTTTTTTCTTTTAAATATAAATACATGGTTAAAAATTTTCTCTTTTGCAGAGTCAAGCAAGAAGATGCCTTCTTTCAAGGAATTTGAAACATTACCGGAAAAAGACTTGCCGAAAAAAAATCAAGTTGAAAAAAGGGTGAATTCTTCACCCAGAAGTTTTCCGTCTTGGAATGTCATATTCGTTATATCAACAATTTCTCTATTAGTATCGATATAAATTTCGCTGTTCAGATAATTATTTTACGAAATACAGTATGTTTAAGAATTATACATAAATAATTTGAAACTTGTAGTATTCAGATTATTTTTCCGCAATATATTTCTCTGCAGTTTTAGTGATGGACATTGGCAGCTGTGGACGTTAACTCAGCTGCAGATTACTTTACTTTTATATTATTTTCAGAGTATACATCTGTAGCGATAACGAGCCTGAAAATGTATATTTCTAAATTACAAAAATTCCCTTTTCATACAATAATGGATTTTCTGCAAAAAGGAAATATTTTCACATTATATTATTATTCACTATTGGTTTAGACCTCTTTCAAACAGGTAAAGAATTTGAAAGGTTACACTCTAACTACATTCAATCTAAATACTGACAAGCAAACCTGCTAAACTCTTTGTAGATGTTACTTCGTGACTTAATTTAAAATCATACGATACAACTGAAAACAACAAGCATATAAAAGAAACTAAAATATTTTTGGATAGTCAGCTTGAAGCTGCTACTAGGGAGATTAATAAAACTTTATTCTCGCTGCATGGGACCAGCGAATATGATAGCAACTAAATTGAATTGCAAATTAAATATTACAAGTTAAAAATCTTGGCTTCTTTGCTGTTAGATTTACTTACATAGGCACAAGCGAAGGATTAATTTAACTAAATCAACATAGTACTTCCGAGGGAAAACTAAACACTTCATTTTATCGATAATATTTTCTTATGACACTATGGCTCCATTTTATGGCCTTGATGATAAGCAATTTATTGTCTATAAATAAATTCATTGAAAGCAGACAACAGACAACATTTTCTAGCACCTCTTTCAAGTTTTATGTTATCCATAGCGCCTTTGACCGAATTTGAACGAAACTAGTTGAAACTCAGGAAAACTGAAGATACAAAAAAAACTCTCTTAAGACTAATGTCAATCAAATGGACTAATGTCAATCAAAAGAGACTAATGTCAATCAAAGTATGATTATGATACGCGAAGACTTGTCTTTCTTGGAATAAATATAAAATCTGATTAAAAGCAAAAAATTACGAAAAATTATTACTGGCCAACTGCTGGTCGTACTTTGGAAATTAATTACATTTTCTGATGCATTGAAACATGGTGATCGGTAAGTCTTGAATGAAGAATGGGGTATGGAATGGATTCTTAATTGTACAGGGTCATTAAGGTTAGTTTCAAATAACAAACTCTTTAAAATCATACGAATTTGTTTAGCACCTGGTGTGACATTCGAAATTCACTTTTTGTGCTTATCACCTTTGCGTTTGAGTAACTTTTCAAATTGTATCCACCAAATGTTACCGCTAGGCATTATTTAAAAGATTTTAAAATAATGAAGAATCTATATGTATGTATGTATGTTTCTTGCACTGTAGAAAAATGACGGCATCTAGGGCCAGCGAAATTTTAATAGACGTAGTCTGCCACCCGAACATGAGAATTTCGAATTTCTTTTTGATTATTATGAATTATTCCATATTTTGTACAAATTTAACGAATACTCTTATAGAAAATTCAGCGATTTGAAAGCGAGAAACGACAGCACTCATCGAAATGAAACATTTTTATCTTGTCGCCAGACTGTTGCCATTCGGCTAAATTTAAAATATTTATCTTTCAATTCAAATTTACAAATTCGGCTATTTGAAAGATGTGTGTTGTCACGTTGCCAGACGTTGTACAGTATTTATTATCGCTAGACAACAGACTATTGTCATTTAGTGAAGCGAAAATTTTCAACTTTCAAATCTAATCTTTCTGTTAATGCATTTCTGTTAAAAGCAGTTCTTGTTACACATATAACGTAATTAGACTGTAATTATATTTCATACTTTATTCTCATTAATTTTACACAATTCACGGCCACTCGAAGCCATGAATTCTCTCAGAGACTCTTAACTCACAATTTCATGTAACAAAACTCCAAGAGCTCGGGACGCATGCGCGGACGCAAGTATTGAGATGCGCGCGCAGACTAAACATACCACCTGCCTGGGTATGATGTAATCAATCAAAATTGTAAATTTTACAATGAAAAATTTTACACAGTGCCACAATACAAAATACAGGTAAATAAGTGTAAACATCAACATAATAACATCAACTACTATAATAAGAAAACGCAGTAATGAATTACAAACATACTTTTTTGTTTTAATTTGGCATAGGTAAAACAAAAAATTTATTAATTCATCTCTTAAAAATGCCGCTTTTCGTTTTTACTGAAACTACTCTAACCTTATTGTCTTTACCTAAAAATATCTCTACGATTCTGCCAAGAGGCCAGTTAGTATATACAAGAATGTTACCAGTCTTTCAAATTACCATAGTTGCAATTTTTATATTTTCTTTTTCAAAGAACCATTTAGTTCTTCCTTGCATTGCACTCAAATAGTTATTTCTCTAGTATTTCCATATTGTTTGCACGATTTTAGTCAATCTTTGCTAGCTCTTTAATCTGTTATCGTTAACGTTTAAATTATTAGATTCTGAAATAGCAGTGATAGGTCTGAATCAAGAAATAGCCTGGTGTCAAGATATCAAAGTCCTTTGGTTCAGATGATAAAGGATGCAAGGGCCTAGAATTCAAAATCCCTTCAATTCGAGCAATTACTGTAAGGAACTTTTTACAGTTCAGTTTCAAATTACCTACTACACGTTTCAAATGAAACTTACCAGATTTGATACCTGCCTCCCAAAGACCTCCACGGTTGGGAGCTCTAGGTGGAATGAAACACCAATTAATAGTCTCACTCGATAAATAATTACCTAATTCGTCATCAGGTTTGCTGACTAGTCTAATCAATTTCTTTAATTCTGCCTTACTACCAACAAAATTGGTTGCGTTACCTGAAAATATGTGTACACACTTACCTCTCCTGCTAAAAAAAAACTTTTAAGGTTGCAATAAATGCTTGATTAGACAGGTCTGTTACCAACTCAAGATGGCAAACTTTGGTAACAAAACAAACAAAAATGCACACATACACCTTGTTAAGCGACCTTTTCTTTGATGTGGTTATTTTATAAAATAAGGAACAAAAAATATCAACTCCAACACAATTGAATGGAAAATTCGGGCTGACTCTTTCTTGAGGAAGCTGACCTTATAAGTTGTTGACAGGGCACTGGTTTTGCTTTGAAGCATACGACACACTCATGTACTATTTTTCTGCAAACGTTGCGCCCGCTTAAGGGCCAAAATTCTTGTCTAACAATAGGCAGTAAGTCTTGTGAGCCAATACGCATGTATTTCTTATGATACATCACAATAATTAGATTAGTCAACTTACTTGTATGATTCTTTGGTAAGATTATTGGAAATTTTCTATCAAAATCCAACTTACATTTGGCTAATCTGCTTCCAACTTGCAAAATTCTATATTCATCTAAAAATGGAAAAATACTTCTTACCTTACTATCTGGAGGTACCTTATCATCGTTTTGAAGGCTTGAGATTTCTTTTTTAAACTTAGTATTTTGAGTTAAAACATAAATAATTTTAGTGCAACTATTACTTAAAGTTCGGAAATCCTCATGAGAGGGTTAGCTTTCACATTAAGAAAAATATTGTTTCGTTTTTCTCTTCCTGACACCAGTTGTTACCTTATTTTCTTCCTTCACGTTCGTACGGGGTTTGTAGATTTGGAGTGAATAACGACAACACTGGATGAAGTATCGAAACACACTTTACTTATCAATATTAATCAGGTCAGCTCCAAAACATTTTTACAGTCGTCGAAGATCTACTATAAACATGCTGGAACAATCCGAATGTCAGGCAATAACGGTGGAGACGCTCCTGCAAAGCACCGACTCTATTTCCTGAGAAGGCTCCCTACCTGCTGTCGTTTCGAACTCCAACATACTCTCCACGCTAAACACGCGATGCACTCGATGACAAACGAGCACACTCCCGACCTTCGTTCAGTCGTTCCGGAGCTGAACACGTCTCTCGACGATGCACTAACCGCGATACACACAGACTCCTTCGGTGCACTCGGCCACGCTTCGTCAGGCTGTCAACAAGCGACTCCGCGGGATTGCTCGAGAGACGCGACACAATTCGATATACTACTCGCACTCTAGACGAGGCACACACAACTCGCCCTCTCGACGAGGCCACTCCTGAACACATACTGACGCGGTCCAGCAGGGTATATGCTTTCTTTTGTGTCGAGAACATTCGGGCTAAACCCGGTAAGAATTCTTCCAGAAGGTTCTCCTCCGCCCATGGCTATCGCCAATTATGTCGCAAAATGGGCGATTCTCGCCAATGAGGCAAACTGCCTTCCCCTTGCCATTTTATGGCAACCCTAAAGCTCTTTGCGGGGAAGTTATCTCACCGCGCCGCACATTTCGTATCACTGCTCCTCCCAAGGACTGCCCGCCCGCGCGTACTAAACCCTTGGTCAGAAGCCAAAGTCGATAGAATGAAACGTTTCTAAAACATACAGATCCTTAATTAATAAGAAATCGAACTTCCAGAATAGGTAAGAGACTCATGCCACAAGAACCCATAGATGCCCCTAAGAATGAAACGCTTATTTACACTATGTACGAATATATACACACATTAAAACACATACATTTTAAATTATACAAATTACAGTTAGAATGAATTTTAGTTCAGTCTTTCATTAAATTTATCTCAGACACAAATACTCCACAAATTTCTCAGATTTTTATGTTGTGCACTATCACAATCTGAAGATTCAGTCCTTTCAGACTTGTCATCCACAGGAAGATCTGAAACAGTTTGTTTACCACTCTGTAGTTTATTCTCATCATGTATACAGTTCAACTCGGTATTTTCAGCCTCTGGTATATGCCCATTTACCTCTGTTTCCTGGGAACCAGTTCCAATGTTTGCACCAGGATCGCGAATAGAATCATCCTTTACAAGCAAAAGTATCCGGGTTTAGAATCAAGTCCTTGTTTGCAAAATCTGTAGTATGAAACGCACACATAGTTTGCAAAGTTAGTGAATTTTCTTGCAATACTGGAGCGCAATGCCTAAGCTTTATATCAGCTTCTTCCATCTCTGCATCACATGCACTTTCAGATGGTGCATTGCTGGCCCTGCGACTTCGTACTTACTATCAGTTTTTGACGAATTAAAAGAGTCGCTTTTTCATTTTCTTCCACTTCAGGCATTTGAAATAAAAGTTCTTTCCTGCTTTTATTCTTCATTTTCGTTCTTTTATGAATCTGTTAGATGTTCATCTTAATTTCTTGATTTTCTCAGAAAATCATTAGTACTTTCCTTCTTTCTTCATCCTTGATTCTTCAGAGCCACTCTATCATTTTACACGTCTTTATGAATCCAGTTGTCCTTAAGTCACTTTTAGCGTTTTGAGTTGCTCTCGCACATTTTCTTGGCCGCCATTATCTTTCTCGTCGGTCTTTCTTCTTTTAGTCGGCTGTAACTCAGCTGTCATCTTTTTATTGCAGCTTTTATCTTTTATACCCCGCTTTATCTCATCAGCTTTATCCGCTTTATCTCAGCACATATCCGGCTTTTATCTCAGCTTAATTTCAGGCTTCATCTGTTCCTGTCCGGCTTTCAACTCCGATAAAAGGTCCATCAAAGTCTTCATTTCTTCTCCATGGCTTTCTGCCAAGGTGGGTCACTGACAGTTACTCGCAAACCACTACTGAACCAGTCTGTGCGTATTTCTTTCCTGACACAAGTTGTTTTTATTACTTCCTCCGTTCGTACGGAGTCGAGATTTGGAGTGAATAACGACGACATATGAAATCGAAAAAAACTTTATATCAATATTAATCAGAGACACTCCAAAACTCTTTTACATCTTCGTAATTCGTTCCACAGTCGTCGGAAATCTACTATAACACGCTGAAAATCAGCGACCAGCTCACACTGTCAGGCAATAACAGTGAGATAGTTCTGCAAAGACATCCGAATCTAGTTTCCGGACTAGAGCTCCCGACTATGCTGGGTCGTTCTCGGAATAACGTACTCTGACCACTCACGCTTACAAAACGCGATGCACACCGATGACAAGCGAGCACAACTCCCGACTCTTCGTTCAGTCGTTCCCGGGCTCAACACGTCTTTGACTATGCACTACCGCGATACCCTAAACACTCCTTCGGTGCACTCGACGTGCAATCGGCTTCGCTGCCAGGCTGTCAAACTATCGACTCCGCAGGGATTGACCGCTAGACGAGACACCAACACGATACTAATAACTCCACCTAGCCACCGCAGGCACAACACACTCGCCTCTCGACGAGGACCACTCACTTAGACACACTAACTGACTGCGGACCAGCAGGTTTATTGCTTTCGTTTTGTGTTCGAGAACATTCTGGGCTAACCGGTAAAATTCTTTCAGAAGGTTTCCTCGTTATGGCATATCGCCAATTATGCGCAAAATGGGCGATTTCTCGCAAAATGTGGCAACCCTAAGTGCTTTGTGGGGAAGCTATCTGACCGCGCCTGTACATTTCGTAACAATATTAATAAGTCATTAAGGATTTTAAGTTCGTCTGGAAAGTCCTGCACCAATAACTTCCTCTGCAATCTCTTTATTTGGATACTAGTTGTTCTTCAGGAACAGAGAATCTTTCCACCACATATCATTTTGTAGAAGTTTACTTGGGTCCAAACATTGGAATATAAAATCACTCGGATTCTCCTTTGATGACACATGACGCCACTGATGATCATTAGTCAACTCTTGAAATGTTGCCACTGGATTTGCAACAAAAGTCTTCAATTGGTAAGGCTCCCTTTGTATACACGAAAGTACGATCATGGAGTCAGTCCACAGATACACGTTGTTCACAGAAATCTCTAATGCAGATATTACTCTAACAATTAGCCTTGCAAGCACGACTGCCACACAAAACTTCCCTCTCGGAATAGTAACTCGTTTTATAGGCGAGACTCTGGATTTACTAGTCACTAGCCTTGTCGTCACTTCTCCATCTCTCGAAGGGAACTTGCAATATATGGCTGCTCCGTATGCTACCTCAGAGGCATCTGGAAATCCATTAAGTTCCACGTATTCTACTTCTGCAATAATAATAAACCTCTCAACTTCTACTTTACTTTTAACTTTCAATTCCGTAGAAAACTTCTTCCATTCATCACCTTCCTTTTTTGGCAGTAGTTCATCCCGATTCAGATTTAACAACCACAACCGTTGGAGGAATATTTTGGCTTTACTTATGATTGGCCCTAATAAACCAATCGGATCAAACAGTCTTGCAGTTGTGGACAATATGTGTAGTTTGGTAACAACTATCTCATTATCGAGTTTCACTCTAAAACTGAAACAGTCTTTCCTAGAACTCCAGGACACTCCAAGTGTGTAGATTCTGCTTCATTAGGAAAGGAATAGGAGTGATCTTCTTCCGCAAGTTCAGCATGATTACTGCACCACTTGTGCAGTGTCATTCCTGCACTCTTCAGTATTGCAGTTAACTGAGATTTAAGCTCCTTAGCTGTACTCAAGAGATTCCGCTCCACTAAGCACATCATCCATATAAAAGTTTTTAAGTAAGACTGGCGCAGCTAATGGAAATTTTGGACCTTCATCAATCGACAATTGTTTAAGAGTTCTCATAGCTAAGTATGGAGCGCTAACTGTACCGTAGGTCACAGTATTAAGCTCGTAGATTTTTCACAAGTGCATCACGTTCATTTTTCCACAGGATTCGCTGCAATCATCTCTGTTCAGGGTTAATTTCAATAATTCTATGCATTCTTCTGATATCTGCCGTAAATGAGAATGGATACTTTCGAAATCTAAGCATGATTGAAAAGTGATCATCTTGAATAACACTTCCATTCCGTTGTAAAAAAATTAACGAAATTCCATTTGATGTTAAACATGATGCATTAAACACTGTTCTCAATTTAGTTGTTGTTTTTTGAGGGTCGGTATATATGATGTGGCATATGTACACTACCCTAGGCTCACTTTTTCTCTTAACCTCAGTCATATGCCCTAGCTCTTCATATTCCTTTAAAAAACTTAATACTGATACAGACTAAAATATTCAGGCGTCTTTAACTAATCTTTTCCATAGGGAATTTAATCTCTCAAGGGCAAAATCTTTTGAATTTCCTAAGCAAATAAGGATCTTCCTTTAGTGGCATTGTTACAATGTATCTTCCTTCTTCATTCCGCTTATGAGTTTGCACTATAATGTTCTTCACATATTGGCTGTTTCTTTATTTTTTGGAATGGCTGTTTCAACATTCCTCTATTTCCAAAATTTTGCTCATTGTTGGTTCTAAGTCATTCCGATGTTTTCATTAACCCACAATGTACGCGGTTCTGTTCTTCTGATGTAACGCTTCCTGACACAATAAACCCAAACACGCTGTTTTGTAAAATAAGACTCGAGTTTTCGTAGCGAATTTGTTCAGATTTTAATATTTCAAAGAAAACCTCAGCTCCTAAAAGCATCTCTATACGTTCTGGAACATTAAAATTCTCATCGGCTAATTTTATGTTACAAAAATCCTGCATTTTAATATCAATTTTCCTTGAAGGAATCAAATCTTGCGTGATTTTTGGTACTACTAATAGGTCTAAATGTCTTCACGTAACTTTTATCTTTATTGCTAATGCCTGCCGAAACTCTCGATCAAATTGTAAACAAGAAATCATTTAATACGGAAATCGCAATGTTTACCTTCTCATAATCAAAGTTGAATTTATTCGCACAGTCTCGGCTTATAAAGGATGAAGTACTGCCGCCATCAAGTAATGTTTTGACTAGATGTAGCTTACCCATACTATCATTAATAAAACAGATTGCGCTGCTTAAAAGAACACTTTTCGATTTGTTTACAGTTGTCACTGTAAACAGACCATTACCGCTATTAGACAGAAAGTCTGACGGTAGGGAGGAAAGCACACTGGAACTACTCTCTGTTTCGGTTTTATTTATTTATTTTTTCATTTTCTTTGGATGATTTATTTTCTGCCGGAAAATGGATTGTACCATGGTGTCTTTTCCCCCATACACAACACGAAACGTTTGATTTGCACTTTTTAACAGAATGACTTAATGCTAAGCAATTAAAGCACATTTTATTACTTTAATTTCATCTCGATCATTCACCGGCAGTTTCATGTAATTTGGGAATTTTGCCAAGAAACGATTTTCCTCACAAAGAACAAAATTTAAGCCTTTTACACGGCCAAAGAATACCTTTGAAGCATTTTTTGACGTTTTATAATTGTTGCGAGATTTTTGAAAGCTGTTCACACTTTCGGTAAGGTATTTTCAGGGAGATGTGAAAAATAAATCTGCTTCCTTTGCCATTTGTTGAGGCGGAAACCAATTTTCAGCTTGCCTTGTAGAAATATGGTCTGACGTTTCTCGGTCTAATGTCACAAACAATTTGCCTGATGTTATTAACTGCTTCAAAGTTTCAGAATCAGACGCTTTTTCTTCAATTTTAAGTAATATTCAAAATTTGTCGTTAATCGCGACACGAATTGCACATGGGACTCATTTTGGCATTGAGCCTTTTTAAAATTCTGTAAAACAATTTGTGGTGTAGGTTCGAATGCTTTTAGAATAATAGCTTTTAATTTTTCATAGTCACTTATATCCTCATCTCTAATATAAACGTTAATGTTCGAAGCCCGTTCCCCTAACAAGTTTAACAATATTTCCGCTTTAGATTTCTCAGGCGCATTTTTTGCCGGAAAAGCTCTTTCTAAAGACGAGAAAAATTTACTCCAGTTTTCAAGTTTACTTGGAGCCTTCAATGTTAATGTTTTTATACTTTTAATAAGGGAATCTAAGGAATCGGAACTTACTCCTTTTGTTTCGTTTTGATTATCATTATCATTTTTGCTTTCAGCTCGTAATGGAGCAATTTCCAATTCTATTTTACATCTCTCCAATTTAATTTGTTTTAACTGTAATGCTTTAGCTTCTTCAGATTTACGATGCTGTATTATAGAATTACCCTACTCTATGACCGAATCTGGATTGGATTTAAAAGCTTCATTACTTTAAATCGCTAGATTTATATCTGCAACAGTTATCTTTTCACTTAATTCTATATTTAGTTCTAAGACTAGTAGATTTAAATCTTCTTTTAGTGCACCTTTTATCAATATTATACTCTTAATAAAATAACACAAGATAATTATAATAAAGCAATTGTTCTCAAAATACTCTTAACACAGTACATAAATACTATAAGTATTTTCTCAAAACTGTTATATAGTATCTCAATAATAAAATGGCATTTTATTTTTAAATCGAAACTGCTGACTTACTTGTTACTTGTAAATAACTCATAATCCATAGAACTTCGGTCCAAGATGACCACAAATGTTACATATATAACGTAAGGGTGGATAGTAATTATATTTCACACTTTATTCTCATAAATTTTACGCAGTTCACGGCCACTCGAAGCCATAAATTCTCTTATCTCATATAACAAAATGCGGGCGAAGACTAAACAGTTCTTTTGCGTGCGCAGACTAACAGACTAATTTTTAAAAATTGATTGATCTGATTGATTTAAATAAAAGTGCATTTAAATTATGACATATCTAATTAGAAATATTAAATATTTTTATGAAGAAGCACTGTCATTAAAATTATTATATATATTTTTAGCTCTATGATAATTCTTTTAGGTGACTCGCCGCTCTAGCAGCTAGTATTAAAATGCATGGAAACACCTAAGATTCTATCACGAAGTCTAAAGTCATGCTGATTTTTAAATGATTTGCGATTTTAATTTTATGTGGTGCAAAGACAAAGAAAGCGGTGTTTAATAATAAAGCTAAAAGACTAAAAAAAAAATGTGTTAGCAGGAATGAGTCCAAGAGCAGATTGGTAAACAGGTGTGCTCATCGATAGCATTAAAAACCTTAGCAAATCATCTGATGCGACGTTAAAATCTGAATCCTTTCAGATTTTCTTTCTTTTTAAATTCTCGCTACTGGTGTAAATAGTTCAGCTTTAAAGTGTTAGTTCAAATAATGTTTACATAAGATAGCAAGAGAATTACCCAATTAATAACAAAATGTTTTTTAAATAACATCAATTTATGGTTAGAGCTTTATCAAAACTGTCATTAAATCGAATAAAATGTTATGAAATATGAAAGGTTAGTTTTTTGAAGTCTCTGTTGACTGGCACAGCATGAAGCTGGAGTTAGTTTAGTAGTGGTTTGTATACTGTACTAAATCAGTAAAGATCTTATTTGAATAAAGAATGCCTAATAATATGATACATTATGTCAGAATTGGGGGATTTAGCATTAAAAATGAGTGTTAAATGAACACCGCGTGCACAAATAACATTTAAACTCTAATTTACCTAAATTTTATTGCACAAAAACTTTAATTATTAATTAGATTTAATTAGCTAAAAGTTAATTACCTATAGATGGATAATTTTAACAAGTTAGACTTTTAGTTAATGTTATCCACCGACAAAACTTGCAACTCCAACAAGACCAAACAAAAATGTGGTATTAAGTGTTTCACTCAAAGATCAATTCGTAAAATCAGACAGCCTGGAATTAAACGTTTAGCCTACCGCCTCCCCTTTTTATCAGTCTAATAAAAATCCTTGATCCGAATTACGTAAATTACTGCGGGAAACACTCTAATAATTCAATATTTTTTAATTTAAAACTGTTTAAACAATTAACGTATTTTATTATGTTCTATTTTTCTAGTTTCAGATTATTATATGCAATATAAGCTCTAAACTTCTATATTTAAAACCAACATCCCCCCTTTCTTTCTCTTTTAGGAAACTGAAAAACAGAGACGAGATTAAAGTCCCGTGTGATTTTACTTCAAACCTTAATTATTGAAATTAAGGAAATGTGGCGAAAGTAATTTAATAAAATTATTTATTAATTTAATAATCAAATATATGAATATAATGTTGACTTGAGCAATTCAGTTTCACTCCGTCGAGGCTTCTCTGAGCATGGAGCGATCCGTAATGCTCCAAGAACAGTGAGAAATAACGGCTTAGTGTCTCGAGTTTTGAGGAAAGATATAAAAATCAATGACCATACGTAGTTATCTATAGAGATCCTCTGTGTTACCTTCCTCACAGAAGTTATCTTTCAACTTAATAACTTAACGTCTGTTTCATTTGATTATTTTCTTAATGATCTTTCTTTTCCCTGCACATCCTCCTTTTTAAGGCCTTTACATATCATCACGTGAT